ATTTTAAATATGCTGGTTTAAATATTACTAACTCTTAATTCAAATATTTTAAGTGTTCTGAAGCTCGCATAACCAAATATAATGAATTTAAACAGTACTGGAATTATTTATTGAAATCCTGTTGTGTTAAAATGACTTTGTACCAGGCTAAAAATATTCACAATAGAAAATGCACTTTTGCTTTCTTTAAGCACAACGTGGAAGTTCTTGGAATCCTTTCTGATGATGTAGAAACTGATTCAGTAGCCCCAGGTGAAAATCTGAAGATCAGACTGAAAGGAATTGAAGAGGAAGAGATCCTTCCAGGATTTATTCTCTGTGATCTCAACAATCTGTGTCATTCTGGACGCACGTTTGATGCCCAGGTAGAACAACTAACATTTAATTGTGGTATAGATAGGTAAAAAGCATTAAAATGTTTAGAATTGGTGAAACAAAAAAAACCCAAAACTTCAGTAGTTTGAAGTTTCAGTACAGATTTCTTACTCACTGTCATATCTCTAAATTGCAAGTAACATATATACCTGGCAGTCTGACATCATGAATTTGAGGTTCTAAAATATCATTTGTTTATTTGTTTTGAATGTAACTTGTCAATGAAGTTTTAGATACCTGTAACTGTGAAAGCAAGATCTTGTTAGGCCAACTCTTCAGTTTTATACTTTCATATTATAAACAACTTAGCCGCTCATAAATTTGGTTTCTTTCAAAAAAAATTGTTGTGTGTGTATTGTTCAGCTGTACATTTTAATATAAGTCTGTGTTTGGTTATTCTCTTTTATAATTGAGGAAAAATGCACTTTTAATTGTTTTACAGATAGTGATAATTGAGCACAAATCCATTATCTGCCCAGGTTATAATGCTGTGCTGCACATTCACACCTGTATTGAAGAAGTTGAGATAACAGTAAGTGTTCTTTTAAGTTGTGATGTTAATATAGACAATCCCCTTGTTGGGGTGAGTTCTGTCATACAGCTGTAGAGCAACTAATGCAACAAAGCTCCAGCCTTGAATAGAATCTTTGCTCAGTACTGTAACACAACCAGAAATGGCTGCAATGTTAGCATAATTAAGTGTTAACATAACAGAAATGTTAGCATAAGCCTTCTGAAGAGTGTGACAGGCCATGACTGACTCCTTTATGCAGTAAATGTTAGAAGTGGTATTTTTATCTTCTCCAGGAAACCTTGTAGAATTTTGGGATTCAGGGTTTTCAATAATTATTTATTTATAAGTATTTTCTTCCTTAAACCACTTCAGTTTTGTTCACAAAGAAAAAAATAACCCTTATTTTAGTTTTGGGGGTTTAAATTTGTTTTCCTCTTATACAGGCCTTAATCTGCTTGGTAGACAAAAAAACAGGAGAAAAAAGTAAGACACGGCCCCGTTTTGTGAAACAAGATCAAGTATGCATTGCCCGTTTAAGGACAGCAGGAACTATCTGCCTTGAGACATTCAAAGATTTCCCTCAGATGGGTCGCTTTACCTTAAGGGATGAGGGTAAGACTGATTGGCAGTTACTAGCTGCTGCAGAAATAGTTACGTGAAATAGGAAATCAGTCATGGCAATGAGGTATTAAAATGCTGGTGTGTAGTGGAAATCACCATCTGGTAACAACGGAAAAGTAAATCTAAGCAAATTGTTGTCATTGTGCAGAGTTCTTGCTAGTAACAAAATGTGTTTTATTTTAGAGGAATACTGTGCAGAAATGTGCACTGTGAAACAAAAATTTGCCAGCATTGTTAATGCATCCTGGAATGTCCACCTACAATATGAATACCATAGTTTCTCTATTTAAAGTTAGAAAAGATAAGGGGGATTGTATGTTGGGCTTTAACCTGGTAAAACTTGTACACTTGTGGGGTACATTTAAAACAAATTCTCTTGAAAAGCAGTACACAGATCTGGTAGAATTATTCTGCCTTGCCTTCCCCTTGGAAGAATACAGAGCAAGCTTTCCACAATCCACATTTTATTCTTTACTGTGAGAATAGCAGGTTTACTATTTTTAAGATTTTGTTTTCCTTATTTTTGAGGAAAGTTTTCATGTTCATTAGAGACTTTTACATTCTTTTCATAATATATGTAACACTAGTGTTTGTCTCCTTGGTTTAGGTAAGACCATTGCAATTGGAAAAGTTCTGAAACTGGTTCCAGAGAAGGACTAAGCATTTTTCTCAATGACCCCGCACAATACTGTGAGGAAAATCGACTCTGCAAAAGCCTACTTCACACCGCCTTCTTATTTTCTGCCCATTGATAAACTTCCCCCCATATTTTGCAAAGACAAATTTCACAGCAAAGGTCCACATTATGTCAGCTTTCTCATATTGAGAGCTCTGCTATGCCACTGTTGAATTTTCCCAAAAAAGAATTTTTTTTTCTCCCAAATTCTGCTTCCTTGGAAAGATTCGGCAATAGCTTTGTAAGTGATGTGGACATAATTGCCTATAATTATGAAAATCTAAAGGATTTTTAATGTTTAATTTCCCCCAGCGTATATATTAAGACCTCTTTTTCCAGGCAGATCATTCAGAGTGTGCGAGTGTGTGTGCACATGTTACAAAGATGACTACCATGTTAATAAACTATTCAATTTGAAATCTTTTTCGGTATTTGAATTGCTTTTGAATAATGTTTTTTATCCGGATGTAACGCAGTTGCATTAGCTTTTTAACTTCCCAGTAACCTAGATCTTCGGTTACTTGGACTTTTCTAAACTTCTCAGCCTCCCCACACACACAGTTTTAAATGAGGCAATTGGGCACTCAACCACGTTTGTATTAAAAGAATTAGGTTTGCCCCTTCCCTTTGTTGAACGCATTCTTAAACTTAAAACTATTCATGCAAATGTGGCACCTTCATCAGCTTTACGTTTGTTAATATCTTCAGCAAATTTAGGTTGACTTAACATCATTACTAGACACAGTTAAGTCAATTTTGAAGGTTAGAACTATGTACTGTGTCGTTATAAAAAATCAACATTATTAAATTCCTAACTGCAGAAATGCTAACAACCAGTAAATCAGTGAAACTTGCAAAAATAAGAGAGTCTGTGGCAATAGTGCCTATTAGTATTTATAAGAGCTTCACTTTGTGGGAGAACTGGGCCAATTAAAAAGTGCCAGTTATAAATTACTCAGTTCACCCTGGCTTTAATTTAGAGGGCTGGATAATCCTCGCTGTTTTAAAGATCAGTCTGAACTGAGAGGGAGAAAGACTATTTAAATCCCTAAGAGTTTGCACATACTGAAATATGGGAGGGTCAGAATCAAGCACAGTCTGTAAATTTTTGCATATCAAAAAGCAATGTAAGCTTCTGAGGACCAGTGAAGTTTTTCTTGAGAAATCGGAGCAAAACTGGTTCAAAATAAAGCTTACTCAGTGCAACTTGAAGGAGCTGCATAATAAAATCCTGTTTAGCTGCACTTTGAAAGTGGACTGTCTACAATTGCTGTCCTAATTCTAACAATTAGGATGAAGGCTAATGGATCTTTTGGGGTTTGGTTTTTTTTTTTCCCATTTCCCAGAGTATTGGTAGTAAGTATTTAAAGGTATCTTCAGAGCTTCTTCAGGATGTCCCAAACGAAACATTTTCAGTTGTACAATTGTGGCAAGCCCATCTCCACCCCCAAAAGTTTACAGTCTAGTGACTGTATCTGAATTCACAGATAACCCAAAACTGAACCCAGTTTACCTTTTGGGTTGTTTTGGTTTTTGTGGTTTTTTGGGTTGTTGGTTTGGTTTTTTTTTTGGGGGGTTTGTTTTTTTTTTGTTTGTTTTTTGTTTGTTTGTTTCTTTGTAACTGTGGAACTCCCATTCATTTCACTTACAGCTACATTGTATGGACAGAAGAAGTTATTGTCCTTCAGTTTCATATGACTACACTTGTAGCTACCGTAATGCATGGAATTTAAATAAATTTTATTATGCCTGCAAATCTCTGGGCTTCTATTTTTTTTGATAAATCAGAGTTTAAAAGTAACTTTTTTTTTTTCCTACCAAGTGAACAAACCCCACAGTTCCTTGGATCTTAAACTAATGAAGAAATTAAATGCCAAGGAAACTTACTGTCTTGTTCATATTCTGGATTGACTTAAGATTTCCACATATCTGCCTGCTTCCTTGCAGTAAGCTCATGGACTTGAAAGTTGCAAAGACCATTTCTGGAGAATACTTAGTGTTAGATTCCT